GGCAGGACGGGCTGGGGAGCGCCCCGCTCCCTCCCCATCCGGGAGCTGCAGCACAACAGGTTGGAGGGTGGACAGGCAGCTTTCTCTGCCAGGTTTCAACAGCAAGGAAAACATTTCCTGCAACAGCCACCCCTGTGATCGCCGTAGCGTGAAACCCTTCCCCCTGCGCGCACACGGTGTTTGCTCCGGTATTTCTCGATGCACCCTCAGGCTCCTTTGCGGGAGCAGAGAGCAACGGGGGATTTATTGCACTCTCCCTCCTGAGACCCCAGCTCAGCACCCCGGGCAGACCGCTCTGCTCCCCCGGACCCTGCGGGTCCACCCGCTCCCACGCCAGACACCCCATCTCCCAGGGTGCAGGTGCTGCAGCCGAAAATGGAGGGGCCCGAGGAACGACCGTCAGAGGCTTCCCTGCCCCAACCAGACGGACCGGTCCCATCTGAGCATCCCTCCGCGAGCTCATCGCTCACCGAGCACCCAGCTCCCCCCGAATCCCACCACGCTTTGCCTCAGCCACTTTATGACAGCAAGTTCCTAAGTTAATTATTCACCGTGTAAAAATAACAAATCGGTTTTTGGCTAGATTAGGGAGTATTCTCACTATTTATAAATAGCTGGGTGGTGCTCAGGAAACTACCGAGGGATGAGACAGAAGGGAAACATGACTCTCCCTCACTTCTGAAATCCCACCCATGACACGGTGAGTCACGGGAACGGCGTAGGGTCGCCCAGGGAAAGCGAGGTCTCACCTTTGGTGTGCTCCTCCGTGGGGGTCACCCCCAGCTTCTTGAAGTAATCATCTGTTTCGGGGTCCACCACCAGGAGCCTGGCTTCGTTCTCCCTGGACTTAATGTGGGACACCACCTCTGAGTGCCGCAGGCCTTCCACGTTTATGCCGTTCACCTGCAAAGCGACGGCATCAGAACCCAAGTCTGTGCCCCCCGCAGCAGAGATGCTGCTCCCGGCTCACAGGCCCCCAGAGCAGCCTCCTCATCCCCTAAGGGATGGGATTTTCCTTTTTTAATTGCCATTGGGATGATAGGAAGGATACAGGCTTTTCCCTTCCCCCTCTCAAGCCAGCCACAGCCTCCTACCACCCCCCCCGGTGCCTCTGCCAGAGCATCCTTCGCGTTACTGCACACCCCCGCCTCTGCCCGCATCCCACACACGTCCGTCGGGAACCACAGCCCCCAGACTCCGCCATCACCTCACCCACCCAGGTCCTGCCGAAACGCTCTGGCTGCCCTCTTTAGTGATTTCAAACCCAGCCTTCACCTTGGATGTGCCCCAGGTATCTCAGGCTGCCTACGGGGTGCAACCATGTGCACAGGCAGTGGGCTGGGTGCTGCCGGCGTGTCCTGCTTCCCAGCCCTGCCCCACCACGCCATCATTCATCTCTCCGCGATGGAAAACTGTGGATTTCCCATGTCCCTGGCGGGCGAGTCCCCGTGCCTGCTGCACGGATTCATTTCTCCTTTCCCTGCGTGCGAGCCAGGACCTACCAGGGAACGTGATCCTCTGCTCCCAATTGTTCCCTGCGGCGAGGGGACAATTGTGATTTCGAGGCATTGTTCGGGTGGGGAATGAATCACCCTTTGTCCCGCAGGAGAAGGTCTCTGCACCGCCCGGCCCCTCGCTGCTGGACCCGCTTTTGTGCAATAAACTCTTTTCAGTGCTCCAGCCCGTCTCCGGCAAAGCTCAACCCACCCTTCGCCGCCTGCCCTGCCTTTGGCATCCGAAGGCGCCTGCCCGCAGCACAGCAGAGCGATGTGCTAATTCAGCTTGGATGGAGAAAGGGAGAGAGTGCCGGTGGTACAGAGATCACCGGGAATGGAGCAACCTCCTCCTCTTAAAAATAGCTATTCCTTTACTACAGCTTTCTGGAACAAATCAAAGACTTCAGAAATCTGAAGTCCAGCACAGAAAGGCCTTTGTTAGGAAAAGTGGACAGCAAGTTTTGTTTGTTTTTCTAAGCCACAGATAATGTTATAACTGCATGCTTTGGATGCACGTGCCTGCTCTCCTGCGGGGCCACGGCTGTCCAGAATCACCAGCATCAACACATTTTTATTCCTCCTCTGCCTGCAGACAGACAACTGCCTTCTCCCGTGCCGGACCCCGAAGAGTGGAGTACACCGATGCCAGAGCCAGGGACCGAGCCCAGGAGTGGGGTAACCCCATCCCGGCAGCCCACCGGGGAGCTGAGCTACACCAGCGTGGCATTGCCCCAGCAGCACCCAGGACATTGCAGCCCGTCCCAGGGAAGCAGGACAGAGGACGAGGCTGGCCCTGGCCCAGCCATGGTCCCCCTCACTGCAAAGCCGCGGCTGCATCACAGCGGCCCCTCGTCCCCGCCGCAAAGGGACAAGGCAGGCGAACGCTGCAGAGCCTGAGCTGGGCCAGCTCCAAACTTCAGGTTCCCCTTTGTGTTTTGGATGCCTGAACACAAACCTGGGGCAGAAGCAGGTCCTGAGGGCCAGGACACGGCTGCAAAGGCTGGGACGGAAAGGGAACCCCCTCCCCCGGCTTTGCATCTCACCGGCTAACCCAACTCCGCGGGCTTGTAACCCCCCTCTGTCCCCAGCATCCTCCTCCTGCCGCTCCAGGTCATCCCAATTCACGCCCAGTGTTCACCCCTGGTTGAGCTCGGCCAGGCGGCGTGGGGCTGCTCTCTCCCTGCCCCAGCACCCCCAGCCCACCCAGCGCAGCCGGGCTGGGGGGCATCAAATATTTATCGAAGCCCCAAAGAGCGGGTACGGAGAGGATCGGGTTTCCGAGCTCACCAGCTCACCCCTTGCCACTTTGTGTGTGCCAGGCGCTCTGCCAAGCACCGATAAATAAATAACACAACCCCTCGCCGTGACACTGTGCTGCCAGGAGCTGCTGCCGCTGGCACCCCGCTCCCGGCATTAAACCTTCAGGTGCCGGGAAGAGGCAGCAGTTCCCACCGGAGAGGGAGCCATTATTCATGGGGCTAGAAAGCAGGCGAGTGCTTTGGTCTTAGTATTTCCCTGAGTCGCCCGGCTCCGCAGGATGCGAGTGTTTTCTTCCAGAAGTGCAAACCCTGTTCCCCCTCTGAGCCGGCAGCGAGGGCCACGGCTTGGTCCCTGCAGGAGGGTTTTGGGGTTCACCCTCCTGGGGAAGGGCCACGCGTCACCCCGAGCAGGGGACACCCATGTGCTCCTGCGGTACAGAAGCGAAAGGGGTGATGGCTGCCGTGCCTGGGACACCGGCTTCCAGATCAACCCCTGCCTGTCTCTCTGTCCGTGCGCTGCTCAAGCCCTGCCCAGAGCGCAGGCAGCTCTGGATGGGGAAACCTCGTTCTTCAGGAAAAGCACAAGACACAAACAAGCCAAAGGGAGGGCGATTCCCAGCTGCATCAAAACTTATGTTGTTCAGCACTCGGTGACCAGGAAGCTGCTTCCAAGAGCAATTTCTCCCCATCTTTCACAATTTCGTGTCTTAAAATCTCTGCAAAGTTTTTTTCCCCTCTTCTTCCAAATGTCCTGCCTGGCAGCGCACCAGCTCAGCCGGGCAGCACCAACCCGCAGGACGCCAGACCGGAGGGTGGCTGGGCGGGAGGTCACCCCCTCCCCAGCGCGGGCAGTGGGACGGGTCCCACGTGTCCCCACACCCCTTTTGCTGCAGCGGGCAGAGCCAGCTCCAGCACCGAGCAGCATCAGGCAACGCCACCAAGTACAGGGCTCGCTGTGCTACAGCGGGGGAGATGGGCACCCGTCAAGTGCCCCATCTGTCCGCAGGATCCCGCTGCCACCCCCGAGCCACCCGGACAGGCACAGGGGCAGCAGTTCGCCTGCTCCGACCCTCCTCTGTGCCAGCCAAAGCCAGCAGCATCATCTAGATTTCAGCGCTCGCAAGTGCCCACTTTGAATGAGCTGCCAAAGGACCACAAAGCCACTGCCTAAGCACCCACATCGGTCTTACAGCTCCGTGTTATGGAGGAATACAGGGGGATCTGATGAAAAAGGTCACGGGACGGGAGTTTGTTTCAGCTTCAGGCTTCCCAAGGGTCCCACCACTTCTGCTGTCCCTCTCCCCACCTGCAAGAGGGGGACAGGACCCGGCCGCTCCTGCCAGGGTGGGCAGGATTGAACATCCCTGCGCGGCATGTGCCGAGGAAACCCCAAAAGGCTTCCCAGGAAGGGAGGTGCCGAACCCCCGCGCCGTTACCTCCACCAGCCGGTCCTGGGGCCGCAGCCCTGCTCTGGAGGCCGGTGAGTCGGGGTCGACCGAGCGGATGAACTGCCCCGGCCGGGACTTCTCGCTGTGCAGGTTGAAGCCGTAGCCGTTGGGGCCTTTCTTCAGGTGGCAGAGACGGGGGCACAGCGACTCGTGTCCGTTTAAATCCTGATTAACAGAGGAGGGGTTGGGGGGAGGCAAAACATGGCCGTTAATTTATAAGTTTGGTTTGCTCTAAAGCAGATGCAATCGCAAATAAAGCTACCAAGGAAGCACCATATCTGCACCCCGTCCTCCCGTTCCCCTGAACAGGGACAGGTTAACAAATGAATTTCCTCTCATTGAGTCTATTTTAAAAACCAATTGTCCGAAACCACTCCAGAAAAATTAAAACAAAACAAAAAATGCATTTCCTTCACCAGAAGCAGCCCAGATAAAGTCCACCCGTACGCTGAGAGCCCCCCCGGCAGCAGCCGATCCTCACGGCCGCAGCCCCGGGCAGGGAGGAACCAAACCTGGGAGATCTGGCAAAGCACACCGGCTCACCGAGACGCTGGATTAACCTTAGTAATTTATTTAAGGCAGTGCCGTGCCCTTGGTCCCGGTGACATCGGCATCGCCCGTGGGTATGATCACCTCCCAGCGGAGGGGCTCTGGGGGCCGGGGTGATGAACCCCATGCCTGATGGCTCCCCGCAGCACGGAAAGGCTGAGCTTGCTGTAGGATGAACGGTACAGGAGCACTGAGGAGTTTAGCGCCTTCCCCCCAGTCCCATGGAAAACGCTTTACGGCTCCTCGGGGCAGCCGGGGGAGCAACAAATACCAGCTTTTCTCCAGGTCTGCAGGACCCGTTACACTCCCTCGGATGCTGCTCTCCCCACCAGCCTCCCTCCGCACGGCCCCTTCCAGCCCACACGCGCTGGGCAGCACCGGCTCACGGCACAGCACTGCAACCCCGGCAAGAGCCACCTTGGAGATACGGGTTTTCATTTTCACCTGTGGTTTAAGGAAAACACCCCCTGTGGCTGAGTTTTAATCTTTCATTAAAAGAAATGCTGCTCCCCTCCTGCTAACAGACCTTATTTTTTTCAGATCACATTGATGGTGAAATCTCTTACAGCCTTTCCTTTCAAATTAAAAACCCATGCAGCAATTCCCTCCACGTTCCTGTCTTTGCCAAAAGGTACGGTGAAACACCGAACCTGCACCTCCTCCCCTCCCACCGCATGCCCAGAGATGTCCTCCCTCCTCGGACAGCTCCGGAGCTCCTACACGCCGTGCTGGCTTCGCGCTGGATCTGCCCATGCCGACAGCTCCTTGCACTCGCAGCACCTTGGGGTTATTTCTGCAAAACACCCTCAATGTTGCTTAAAAGCTGCTTCCTCTCCAGGAAGGGCGGCGGGAGCTGACGGCACCCATGGCTGATGCCCAGGAGACCCGGCCCGGCCACCACCTGCGTGGGGTACCCCAGGGATGACGCCAAGGGGCTCCAGCTGCACAGGGACCCTGCGCGGCAAGAGCCAAACAAGCCAAAGGACATTTCCCACGGCCACCGTGGAGCCGGACTACCCACAGGGTCCTCGCGTGCCCCAACGATGACGGGGAATAACTCCGTTTGCAATGATACAAGGTGATTTTTGGCCACTGCGGGTCACGGTGGGGCAAATACAGAGCGCAGCGAAGAGCTGAATCAATTCACCAGCACTCGCTGATCTCCTGGCCCCCCGCGGGGACAGCGGTCGCCCACCAATGGCACCCCCGGGGTCAGCACCTAATTCCCGCAGGAGGAGCACAGCGCGTAAGCAAGCCAATTACCGGGCGGCCAGGCACCGCCGGTGAGCTGCCGGCTCCTGCGGCTGGGGCCGCCACGGCTAAGTCACTTCAGGGGCTGATCCCGTCTCCTTCATCCCCTCAAAGAAGGGATTTTCTGGAGGATCATCAGGCAGAGACATGCAGAGTGGCCACCCCCAGGGACCTGCCGCGCTGGGGAACGGCTCTGCCGCCTTTCCCCTTCGGCATGGCCACGGAGCCACCAGCTGCCAACGGGGATGGAGAGCGCGGACCGCAGCACCCTTCTGCCCCCGGGGCACCGCTCCCCGCTCAGCACCTACAGGCACCGCATTAATGCAAACAGCAAAACATGACTAATATTACTCAATGCATGTCCCTGTCCCCAGCCAGGTTCCCCACTTTGCAGAGCTCAGGGCCAGAGGATCCCCAGGCGCAGGGCATCAACTGTCACCCACACCGAGCACAGGCACCATCGGTCACACAAACACACCCAGCCGGGGTGACACTGCTGCTGTTGACTGGAGACAGAGGCCACAGATGACGAGAGATAAACCCAAATAATCCCAGCAAGAAATACCCGCTTCATACCACAGAGAGCATGTGTCCCCGTGCTGCGAGCCGTGACCGTGGCCGCCCAGCAAGCAGGGGGTCCAGAGACCCCCCCCAGCACCGCCTGCCT